ATTATTAAATAAAGATAATAATATAAATAATTTAAGAGATATTTATATTATTATCTTTATTATTAAATGAAAATTTATTATATGTTAGGTAAATCTAATAATTAATTAATATTATTATTATTTTAAAGTTTATAAAAGTTTTTAAGTATATTTATTATAATAATTATAAAAGATAAAAGTATAAATAAAAAGATAAAGAGTAATATAAATTTAATTTAAAGTTAAATTTAATTACATTTTAAAGGGAATTTTATTAAATATAAATAAAAGAATTTTTTTTTTTTAATTATACTTTTATTAATTAATTATATTATAAGGGGAAATTAAGTCTTTATAGCTTAAAAATTTCTAGCTAATTAAAAAGTAATAAGGGCCCTATAATAATAGTCAAGTCAGGTCAATTATAATGGTCGGGTTAGGTCAGGTAGGCGAGCAATGGTCGGGTGGTATGCATTCTCCAAGGGCAGGGAGGCTCCCGCATTTAAACTTGGCAGAAGCACGGCGGCGTGGGTCGACGGCCACGACGCAGCCAATAGGGCAATTTGCCCCGCCGGTTTTCGCATGGGTGTGCCCGGAAGCCAGCGCCAAAATCTAACATTGAACAATGCCAAGAGCACCAGCCAGTTGAGATGCATCTCTAGTGCGGAGTACCGAGTATCTAGGAAAATTTAATGGGTCGCACCTGGTGGGCCCCAGATTCCCGACGAGGCGCCATCCGACAAGAACTGGGCAAACAGTCGACTGATGCAGAGCGGCGCTGCCACGGGCCATCGGGCCTGCCCAGCAGCGAATATTAAAGTATAACAGCACGGGCAAGACGGCGACCAAAACTCTGCCAACTCGCCTCGCGGGTCGCAAACCGTTGCATGTACCCACCACGGCAGCCGCACGCGGAGTCACGTATCATGATACGTCTCCTCGACCTCTGCCACGGATGTCATCCATCAAAAGATGGATAGATCCGGGGAGGGGGGAATGATTGCATGGCACGTAAATATGTGCCTTTCTCTCCGCGCCACGTAATACCAAAGTGCCCAAGTTTTTTTTTTTTTCTAAAAAAAAAGAATTCCTCATTTCGGACATTCTCGTCCCCCCCTCACCCGACGCCGTACAAGAACCCATTGTACCAAAAACGATATCGCGCTGCATATATTGCTCACGGGTCCGCAAGGATCCCTGCGTCTCGCCGACCAGCTTTGCTCTCCCAGTACAAAGAGCTGGTGTCTTCCCCGCCTCCTCGTCGAGTTTTTTCCTCTTCCTTTTCAAAACGTATATACTCGGAATTTTGAATTTTTGTTTTGAATAAAGAAAAAAAAGGACGTATAAATCAAGTCCACGCAGACATGGTCCAACAAGCGATGGGCTGCGAGAAGCCCGATCGCCCGCCGGTCGGTGTCGAGACGGACCCGGAGCAGCAGCCCGTTGCGGACGGGCATCTGGACAACTCGACCGTCAAGAATATCACTTGGAGCGGGGTCACGGTCACGGTCAAGGACAGGGAGACGAGGAAGCCAAAGAGGATTGTGGACGACGCGGCGGGTGCTGTCCTGGCTGGTGAGTTTGTGGCCTTTGTTTGCTTGTCGACGAGCACTTGGGCAGAGATGCATGTATACACCTACGTCTATACACCCAGATGTGTACACATGCATACATGCACTCCTCACATATACACACTTTATACACATACATATATGCCTGGTACACATGCACATACGCAGATGTATACACTCATACATGCGTGTATATACACATCCCCAGTACTCGTACACACTCACACACTCCCGTACCTACAAAACCAGTCTTCATATATATACACTAACGCCCCTGGCCAGGCGAAATCTGCGCCCTCATGGGCCCCTCGGGCTGCGGCAAGACGACGCTGCTCAACGTCCTCGCGCGCCGGCCCACCAACGCAAGCGACGTGCAGGCCAAGGTGCTCATCAACGGCAACCAGGTGTCGCAGTCGGCCTTTCGCCAACTGACCTGCTTCGTGGAACAAGAAGACGCGCTGATCGGCTCCCTGACGGTCCGGGAGACGCTCGAGTTTTCCTCCCGTCTCGCCAGCACGAGGTTGTTTCCCAACCCTCTTGTTCCTCCTCCTCCTCCTCAACACCACAAAACAAGGGGGCTGACATGAATGCCACAGCTCGCTCTCGCGGAAAGAACGCCTCCTCCGCATCGACTCCCTCCTGGCCTCCTTCGGGCTCACATCGCAGGCGTCGACGCTCATCGGCACGCCCATCCGCAAGGGCATATCGGGCGGGCAGAAGCGGCGCGTCGGCGTGGCCAGCCAGCTCATGACGAGCCCGCGCGTCCTGTTCCTCGACGAGCCCACGTCGGGCCTCGACTCGGCCGCCTCGCGCGAAGTCGTCAGCTACCTGCGCGCCGTGGCCCGGCGCCACGCCCTCATCGTCGTCTGCTCCATCCACCAGCCGTCGACGGCCACCTTCAACCTCTTTGACCGGCTGGTGCTCCTGGCGGCCGGCAAGACGCACTTCTGCGGGCCCGTCGCCGCCGCCGTGCCGCAATTCCACGCCCTCGGCGCCGCCGTCCCCAGCTACACCAACCCGGCCGAGTTCCTCCTCGACCTCGTCAACCTCGACTTCTCGCGCGACGCCGCCGCCGCCGCCTCGGCCCGCCTCGACGCCCTCCACGCGCAGTGGCTCGCGTCGCCGCAGGCCCGCGAGACGGGCGCCCTCATCCCCGACCTCTCCGCGGCCGCGCACCCGCTCGACCTCTCCGACACGCGCAACCCGTCGCCCCCGCCCCCCCCCCCGTGCCGCCCTTCCACGCCCTCGGCGCCGCCGTCCCCAGCTACACCAACCCGGCCGAGTTCCTCCTCGACCTCGTCAACCTCGACTTCTCGCGCGACGCCGCCGCCGCCGCCTCGGCCCGCCTCGACGCCCTCCACGCGCAGTGGCTCGCGTCGCCGCAGGCCCGCGAGACGGGCGCCCTCATCGCCGACCTCTCCGCGGCCGCGCACCCGCTCGACCTGTCCGAGATGCGCAAGCCGTCGCCCCTGCGCCTCACCCTCACCCTCCTGCACCGCTCGCTGGTCAAGTCCTACCGCGACGTCGTGGCCTACGGCATCCGCATCGCCATGTACACGGGGCTCGCCGTCATGATGGGCACCGTGTGGGTGCGCCTCTCGCCCAACCAGGAGTCCATCCAGCCCTTCATCAACGCCCTCTTCTTCGGGTCGGCCTTCATGTCCTTCATGGCCGTCGCCTACGTGCCCGCCTTCCTCGAGGACCGCCTCCAGTACGTCAAGGACCTGCGCAACGGGCTCTACGGCGCCGGCGAGTTCGTCGTCGCCAACTTCCTCATCGGCGTCCCCTACCTCTTCTTCATCTCCGTCCTCTTCTCCGCCGTCTCGTACTGGCTGTCTAACTTCCAGCCCACGGCCAAGGCCTTCTTCACCTGGATCATGTGGCTCTTCCTCGACCTGCTGGCCGCCGAGTCGCTCGTCGTCTTCATGTCCTCCCTCGTGCCCAGCTTCGTCATCTCCCTCGCCCTCGTGGCCTTTGCAAACGGCCTCTGGATGTCCGTCGGCGGCTTCATGGTCCCGCCCACCATTCTAAACGCCTTTTACAAGTACGTCTTCCACTACTGGGACTACCAAAAGTACGTCTTTGAGGGCATGATGGTCAATGAGTTTGCCGAGCGCACGTACGCCTGCGGGCACGGCTGCCGGTGCATGTACCAGTTGCCCTTGGCCGATCGCTGCGAGATTGCCGGCCAGGCCGTCTTGGACCAGTACGGCTACTCGACCGGCAACATGGGCCGGAATGTCGGCATCATGATTTCCATTATTGCCGGGTATAGGATTGCTTCGTGGATTGTTTTAAAGCTGCGCAAGTAGGAGGGGCTGTGCACGCCTGCGGGAGGGGGATATAGACGATGGATTGAGCATGCGAGGGTATATTCCAATAGACTGGATTTTATCCTTTTGGCCACATATGTTTAGGGATACGCAAAGAGTCGGTTTCGTGTGCGAGACGCCTTCAGTACCGTATCCTCGTTCGTAATGCCGCTTAATGGGCATTTTGAGGGGTCCAATGTGAGTTTTGACGTGACGTGAAGGCGCTGCACCGTAGTGAGTTGCGGTGTATCCGTGTATACGTATCCATAGGCAAATATACTATGCGAGTATGGCAAGAGAGCGAGGCGGAGTGAAGAAGTGTGATGCAGAGGAAACAAATTTAGGCTACGGGCGCTGCCTGCTAATAGTGCAGTGCTGGTCAGTGCATGTGCCTGTGCATGGGCCCTAGCATAAGTTATACATACAGTGTGTACCTAGGTACCCAGCAGTATTTATTCATGTATCGACCAGAATAGAAAAGTTCATTCCTTGGGCATCAATAGGATTGCCTCCACTTCTCTAGGCGTCCGCCCAGTAACCGCCACTTCAGCACTACCCTTAGTCGTCAGGATTCAGGAATAGAAGCCATGCACATGGAAACTTTCTGCGAGAGACGCCTAGACCGATCATGCTTATTCCATGCTTATTAAAAGTTTCATCGCATTCATCGATAGTACTATAATTTTTCTGCTAGTGCGTATGCAGCATGCGCTAATCTCACCATTACCAACTGCTCCCTCCCTCGACCCTCACGACGTCCCCCCTTACACAACAGCCTTGGTCCAGTCGCGAGCCCTGATCTTCCTTTCAAATAGGATATCAACCTCGGCTGGGGTGCGATCCTTTGTTTCTGGCAGGCGGAAGAAAGCCCAAATCAGACAAGCCGTGGCTGAGCCTGCCCAAACCAGGGCTGCCTTGGTTCCGAGACCCCATCCAACAGGCGCATTCTCCAAAAGGTTCGGGACTAGGTACAAGTTCGTTACGGCAAAAATTATATAAATCGCACGAGAAAGCGAGTTGGTCGCAGCCTTGAGTCTAGTAGCTGGCGTTTCGGCTACAATTGTATAGCAAACTGGTCCGATTGTAAAGTTGTAGATGGCGGCATAGAGAATCAGGAACGCAGCAATCGCCCAAGGAAGCCCCGACCTCTTCTTACCATGCTCATCGAGAAAAAAAGACAAAGTTCCAATGGCGCCCAGACACGTAATTTCACCAGATAATCCACAAAGCCACAAGCTCCGCCGTCCCCAAAATCGCATCGCCCACATCGACGACACGGTTGATATGATGCAAAGACCGTACATGCCAATAGTGAGATACAGCGAAGAAGCCTGCGATAGGCCGCCTTTCTGGAGGACCTTGACGGAATAAAACATGAGAGGCGTGCCAACCCACTGCTGTGTGACATAACTAACAACAGCAATCTCCGTTCGTCGCAGGTTGATGCCACGGAAACATCCCGTAAGCCCCATATCTGTTGATGCCTTCTTCTCGTGAAGATTGACTGCGCGGATCATAGCGAGAGCTCCGTCTTCATTAAACAGGGGGTCCTTGTTGAGTCGTCGGAGAGTTGCTCTAGCCTGCTCATCTTGCCCATTCCGGCTCAGGTGGAGAGGGCTGTCAGGTGCCTTGAAAACAAGAGCCAGAAGAGGAATAAGCCAGGCATATTGGATAATCATTGGGGTTTTGATACGCCATTCTAAGCTGCCAATCGCAGACGCACCGCTCATGACACTTGCTGAAGTCATTTGCCCAACAAGCCAAAAGACGTTGATCATGGTCGTTGCCGGGCCCTTCAGCTTAAGCGGTGTGATATCAGAAACATAAGGAAGCGTGATGCCTTGAAACATGCCCCAAGGCACACCCAGACACATTTCGCCAATCAGAAACACAGCCAAAGGACGACTTGTATCCATGGACCAAAAGCCAATCATGAGACAGAGCCCAGCACATATGAATGCGGCGGCGCTGCAGACGCGGTATCCCATACGGTTGACGACATGAGGTGCCAAATAAAGACCAGCAAGCTGACCAAAAGAGGCAGCCATGGTGATTCCAGATTGCCAATAAGTCGGAATAAAATATTCGTCCGTGTTGGCCTTCTTCGCACCAAATTTCCTCTGAAATGCCTTGTAGGAAAAGAAGGTTGGCACCATTGCTGTTTCGTAGGCCTCCATGATGATTGGAGCAGCCATGACAGCAGCCCAAACCATGGCGATGCTGTAGTATTTCACGGCGTATCTCATGGACATATTCTGTTCATGGTCGTTGGCAGTCTTGGCGGCATTGTTCCCTCTGAAGATGTCATTGTCGGCTCCAACCTCAAACTGGCCGGCTGTTACCGTCCCCTTGTTGCCATCATATGTGAAATCTGGCTCGTCCGACGCCATTGCAGTGGAAGAACTCGCCTCGCAAGAGATTTCGGAGAAAGTGAGAGTCATGCTGATGATCGAAACGAATACTCGGTTGCAAAAGAGATACCGGAGGTCACAATAATACAAGCGAATAATCCCCCCAAGTTGATGGGGTACCTAGACCTGATCACTTGGAAGAGCTTAAAAGACAAAAAAACAAAACCAAACCGGGGGGCCATCCCAAGGCTTGGCTTGGGAATTTGTGTGTTGTGGTTTCCTTATCAAGAGGGCTGGGAAGAACTGCAGGAGTGACTGTAGTTCAGTCGACTAAAAGGACTAAAATCTCCTTTCCATCTGCCTCAATGTTCAGCCTCGCGAGATCTGATGAAGAAGTAGAAGTAGCCTTGGAGCTTGTAGTTGGTGGCTGGCATATCAGAACCCCATCTCCATCAGCACATTTCGACTGTTGCGCCGGTTCACGTCACGTCGCCTCATTCAAAGTTAGGCAAGTTGAGGAGCTGAGATGTATCCCAGTTGATGAGACCATCCTGCAACCAATTGTGAGAAATTAGGGACAAAAGTATGAGTTTATTTAGCATTTCACGCACCATGGTCAGATCCATCGACATTTTCAAAGTCTCAGCCTCCACGCCATCCACCGTCACGAATGCGCCTACATTGTTGGTACGCTGCCGCAAAAAATGCTCACATTTTTGTAGAGCCGTCAAAAGATCCGTGTATACCAGACGATCTGCTGGAATATGCATTTCGAGCGCTCGTAACTGAGACAAAAGCTCCTATCAAGAGTAGTAGGCCTTCATATTCATGCTTCCCAATTCAATGCCCGTCTCGCACGCACAAATTGCATCCAGCCGGTCTACAATCTGCCCTCGCGACTCATCAAGAGTCTGGTCTGGGCGATCGCCTTTTTGCCCGTGTTCCTGCTCCCCTAACTGCAGAAATACTTCCATTCCGAGAACCAGAAGCCCGAGGCAGCCCTGAAAAGACCCTCCTCCAACGTTCGCAAGCTCAAATAGCCATTGATAGGCATCTGCTTCACCACTGCTCGAGGTCTCAATGACTTGTGATGCAAAGGCAAGAACTGATTATACACAAGTCTTTTGTGTAAGATGATATTCGGGATTCCCCCCTGCCTGAATCTTGTAGCCCTGATAGAGTAGAATAGTATACCATGAAATGAGACATCCATGAAGTGGCGGTGGAGGTCATTAGTTCCGAGACTTTCGTCATCAGCAACCAAGACTCCCCGCATCTTGCGTGCTTCTGTTCGTATTTCGCACCCAAGGCGATAACTTGATCAAAGCTCGGCTCGTTGTTCAAGCCATTGAGCAGCCGCACAATTTCCATTCGAAGCGGCGTTGATTCAGCTAGCGCCGTCTGCAGCGAGTTTGCCGTAGGATGATTAGGCGTACATTTAGCAACTTCGTCCTCGAGGTCACGCAAATCGTCATTGCAGTTCTGCAGGAGACTCGTGTCATAGTTTCGTTGGGACGAGAGTAAAGGCACGCCACTGTCGAGCTCGTGCTGTATAACTAGCCCCATCGTTGTCGCCCACAGCCGTTTTCGCATTTGGCATTGATATAGCGACAGTAAAGGCAGGTATTTCAGGTCCCTATGAAGTCCCATGGACATGGCTGCGGTCAGTAGGGACCCTGCCGATAACCACGTCGGGCCAGGACAATGAAGAGTCGTTTGTTTAGACAGTAATAGGGCACAGAATATTTGAAGGCCCTCCATATTCATAGTAGACTTTTCAGACGGCCCACGAGCCACGGAGAGCCAGATGATTCCATTCAGATGCCTTTTTACGATGCTCGTTACCACCAGAGCCTCGGTGAAGGGTGCTGCCGATAGCAAGGAGCACAATGAATAAGACCAAGAACTGCACCCCTGCAGACTTTTGGCCATTTTGGACCAGAAATCATCGCACTGCTTCTGAAACAACAGTGTGTTAACAATGCGATAGATTGGTTCAAGCCTTTTGTGACAACACAGGATCAGCTCGTCGCATGCAGCTTTTCCGGGCAAGCTGGCGATGTCATCGACTTGAGACTGTTTGTACCGGTATTAAGGCGAGACTTTGTCGCGACGCGAGTTCTTCGTAAGCTCCTAAATAGTCTCAAGTGTTCAGAAGGGTCGATGTCTAAGCTGTCCAAGGCAAACTCTGCTTGGGCATTGTCGAAGCTTCCTACTGCATCAGCAAACATCGGGTATGAGAAGCAGGTATTGAGCATTTACTCACAAGTAAACGAGCCAGGTGCATCCAATGGCTGCACCCAAACAGCTGGACATTATCTTGGCTGTTCGGCAGCGGCATCATCCTAGTAGTGTTGAACCGGGCTGCTGTCCTCTCCAAGCCGTGCTCTTCTCAACCACTACCAACATATTTTTCAAATAGGGCCTCAAGCCTCGGAATTATTCTGAAACCTTGGTCGAACGGCCCAAAATTACCATGTAGAAACGGCCTGAAATGAGCAGTACCGTGTCTCTGTGGCGGTGGTTGTGCGTTGTGCGAGCTGCGCAGGCAGAAGAGTGAACCTTCACGCCCTGTAGCATCAGACGAAGCTGTTCGCTGAGGCATGTCATTCGCATAGGCCACAGATCGATTTCCATTTGCTCTAGCATCAACTCGGTAGAAACACTCCCGTCACGCTTCTCGCCCTCTTACATCTCTCGCATGGCAGTGGCCTGTCACATGGGAGTTTTGCGAGCGCGGCATGGCTCACAGGTGACAGGATGTTGCAGGTCGACGCCTCCTACGAGGCCCAGCCGAGCTAAGTCCGTTCATTTCTCCCGATTCAATAATAAAGACGATGGTTAATAATGAGTGTACGTTAATTGGGAAGCAATAGGAAAGAAATCACGAGAAAAGGTTCGGAGAATTTGGGAAGAGTGTGGCTTGTCCCCGGCAAGCGTGAATTTGCCGAGCGGCCATGGGGAAGTTTGCGGGTCACAAGCTCACAGAGTCACAGATCTCAATTCACGACAACGCGTCTAAGTCATTGCAGCTGACGACGTCTAGTGAAGATGAGCTCAAGTCCAAACATGGCGTGTAGATGTTCACCCTTCGTCAAGAATTCTCTGAATCATGCCAGAACCTGTGGCACACTTGTATCTGCCATGTCAAGTGCGGCTTGCTCCCCACAGTAACTGTTGGGCAGGTTGGTTACAGCCTTAAATTAAACGAAATATCTGGCCTGTTGTTTGCCATGTCCGAGCCCGGTCTTTGTGCTTGCAAGACAGTGAACGGGGTCAATAATACGAAGAGGTGGCTGCAATTCATGGCCCAACATGTGCGTGCTTGTTGGAAATCATCTGCTTCATCTTTTCTTATTCCACACCTTCCGCTCTTCGTTACCTAGAGTTCTCTCCATCATCCCCTCCCGCGCTTCCGCATCGGTAAAGGAATACGCGTTTCGAAGCATTCACAATGGCCCAGCAGTCTGGACAAAGTGCCACACTTTTGGCTGATAAAATGGAGGCTGTGGCAAGGCAGCTTCTGTCTTCTGCTGACGCTCTCCGTGTCAATCCTGCGGCCAAGCAAGACCATGTCGGAATTATCGAGTCTACACATTCCTTGCTTGCTGAGCTCAAAAACCCTCTGGACAATGTAATGGACCAAATGGTCTGTCTGTCCAAGTTTGCCGCCATGAGGCTGTTCATCAAGTGGCGATTGTTCGACAAGATTCCCGCCAACGGAACCATCTCGTACGAAGAACTGGCAAGCAGCATTGGAGCCAAAAAAGGCTTGATCAGTATGTATTCAAAATTCTTCATAGACCAAGTTGTTGTGTGTGGCATTTGCTGACACGGTCGCTGCAGCTCGATTCGGATCAGCATTGGTAGCAAATGGTGTTCTTCAAGAAGTCGAAAAGGGCACAGTTGCGCACACTGCACAGAGCAAGGTGTTGCTCTCTGACAATCCCATTAATGCCCTCATTTGCCTGGGGTAAGATGTTTTCACAAACACGCTCCCAATGCAATGATGAGTCTCTCTTAAGACTGCGATTTGTTGATTGACTGTCCAATGTAGTTTCGATGCCCATCTCAAGACCATGGCAAGGCTCCCGGATTATTTTGACAAGTTTGGCCTTGGCGAGCCTATAGGTAGAGAAAACACTCCAATCGCCTTCACAGTCGGCAATGCTTCCCTCACCATCTGGGAGCACATGAACCGCAGCCCGGAGATGAAGAGAACCTTCATGCTGGCTATGCAAGCCATGGCCACCAGACACGGCATCATCGGTGACTATAGCTTCGAGTGGGTAGTCGACAAGGCTGCCGCATCGCCAGATCGACCGCTTGTTGTAGATGTCGGCGGCAGCAAGGGCCATGCGCTGGAAGCAATTGTCGAGGCCACTGGCTTGCCAATGGAGAGATGTGTGCTTGAGGACTTGGAGCCCGTACTGGACATGATCAGGTCTCAAGCTGATGGTCTTATCAAGCAGGCGAAGCTTGTTGCATTGGATTTTCATACCGAGCAGCCCGTCAAGGAAGCTTTGGTGTACTATATTCGGCGGTGTCTGCATGACTACGGCGATGCTGACTGCATCAAGATCCTGAAGCAGATTTCGAGTGCCATGGCGTCTGATAGTCGCATTTTGATCGTGGAGGACGTTTTGGGAGACGCGCCATCTCCTGTGTCGATTGGAAACGACATTTTGATGATGCTTCTTGGTGGAAAAGAGAGAACGCTAGAGGAATTTAAGGGTATTATGGGCGAGGCTGGTTTGGAGGTGGAGAAGCTGTGGAGGTTCAAAGGGACGGATTATGCGATAATAGAGGGGAGAAAGGTAATGCGGCAAGAGGTAAAATAGGTTGGGGCAAGGACTCGAGTTTAGGATGTGTCTGTCCTAAGGCGTAGGTTTCCAGGTTGCAGGTAGTAACAATTAGTTACAATCCCCACTCAGTCGAATGTGCCTGGAAGGTTTAAAAGTTGGTATTTTTTGGGTTTGGGAGGGGATCACGGTTTCGGCAGCCAAAATACTGGGTACGTACTACCTAGTATCTAGTTGCAGAGCCATTGGCCCAATAATCGCCAGAGGTGGGGGCATCCTTCTGCACTCACCCGCTGTCACCCCACGGATCCACTACTGTCAGTTGAAAGGATCAATCACTGACGTCACTATCCATGTCTCTTGAGGGTCAACTGGTGGATGGGCTAGGGCGTCGTGGCCAATTAGACAGCAGAAGATTTCATAGTACGGAGTACCTGAGCCCAATTTAGCGTGGTGGTTAAGGAACCCCGCAAGCTCAGTTTCTGCCTTGGATAACGGCAGTGATGCAAATAAAAGACAATATACTAAATACATGATTAATATGAACTAAATACTGGCATGGCTAATTTCTACTAATAATTGCCCCATCTTGATATATTCCCTAATATACAAGCATCAAGTCGAAGGAAAAATCCGACGCCAGTCTCCGTCGCCTCGTATAAGAGTGACACTAGTACAGCAGAGCGGGGAGAAATTGCAGAATAAAAAAGTCGTAAATCTAAGGTAGAGCAGATAATTGAATCAATCGCGATTTCATTAAAGCTGAATAACACAATTTTGTCTTACCTACTCTTTCACAGGTGAAAATATAACAATTCAGAATTCTACGCGGCTTTCCTTGGACTGGGTTTACAAGGCTTGCCCAATTCCATGAACAGTTGTAACAACATCCTCACTCATCTATTCCAACACATCGAGTGCAGCACAATATCAAGGTTCCACTCGAAAGGAAGTTAATGTTTTCAATTCTTTCCTCCCAACTATCAACAGTAAACGCATTTCCTCGAGTCCAAGGGACTCAAGTCGCGAATGTAAAACCTCAATCAGAAAAGCCTATCCAGTAATTGAAACCCCCTTAGTTAATCTGGAGCTTGCCCAGGAGCGGAGTGAGCTCAGAAGCACCCTCGCCCGAGATCTCGGTCAGCTCAATCCACGGCGTCGGCAGAGAGCGCGGCAAGTTCGGCCGCATCAGCTACTTCTCCCAAACCCGGGATAAACTTGGCGACGAAGACGGCGGGCAGCAAGGCGAGAGCCAAGGCATGCGACTTCATCACGTGGCCTACCTTCTGCCAGAAGCTCAGCTCATGAAACGGCGCCACCGTCTTGGCCTCCTTGGCCGCCTTGGACGCCGGGCCCGTGATGCGTTGAGTACCAAAAAGGGGGAAGCTGCCTTGCCAGCCAACCTCCTTTCCGTTCTTGTCCATGACCTGCATCAGCGTCTGAGGCAGAGTCAAGTCCGGGATCCGACCGGTGGTAGTGAGGTCGTTGAGCTTGGGGTCGTAGTCCTCGTTCTTCTGAATCAAGTCATTCTTGTCTTTTAAGGCATTCTCAAAGTGCTGCCGCATTTCTTTCGCTCCTTGGGGTCCTTCTCAGGGAGCGTGTAGTCGAGAGGCACCTGGACCCAGCCGAGAACCTGCGACCACCAGATGCCTCCTACTGCGATACAATCCTTACCGGAAAGGAGCATGTTGGACGAGGCGTGGACGGCATATACAATGCCGTGGAAGCCGTTGGTTGCCTTCGAAGTCTTTGCTGCGTTGTCCTTGGCCGCAGCTCCGAAGAGGAGATAAGTCTGGAGAATTTCAGTTGCCCAGTCGACTGTCACGACATTACATCCATCCCGTCTACCTCGTAGGCCGGACAGGCGGCCTAGTCAGCGGAGGGAGGAACCCTCCTACCTTCTTAGCTTCCTGCGGCCAGAGGAAATCGCCGTAAAAGACAATCTTGGCCGGACCCGGGGGCTTCGCTCGCCGGGCGCCCTCGGGTCTGACCCGACGGAGGAGATCTCGGACCTGGTCACATTTGGCTGACGTGCCGAGGGCAGAATGTTAGCAAAAGACAAGTGCTTGGCGATGGAATAATACAGGTGGGTGCACCTTTCTTGTCATCTCAAGTTCTCAGCATCGCTCCTGCAACACTAGACAGAGATCTCTTCGAGTTCGGCCCCTTGGACTGGAGAAGTGTAAGTCCTATCGCAAGAGCAATTTGCGGGCAGTTCAGATTGTCGTATCGGCGCTCGGACAAGTCTTCCATTTTAACATCTGAGATATCCGAGAGGTCAATGTCCTGCCAATCCATCGGTCCGTCCCTTGGCGGCGGCGGCCCTGGCCTGTACGGGAACGCTTGGTTCTCAGTCCACCCGATGGGCGCAGCATGTGTCTTCATAAACCTAGTCGCATCATTCTGCAGCTGTGACACATCTGGGTTTTGAGCTGCCAGAATCGCGACTTCAGGATCGGCTCGAGTCTGCGTGGCAGGGGGCCCGAGCCCGCTGTCGTCGTATTGCCGGTTGGCCACGAACTGGGCGGCGAATTCAGACTGATATCGCGCTGTCAATTTGGCTTCCGACTCGTCATCCAAAATTGCCTCGCTGGACTCGAATTCAGCATCGTCTTCAAGGAGAAGCCATCCCTCAACGGCACTCCACGGAATGCTGCCCAAGGCGCTGGCCTCCTCCTGTCTTGGGTACTGATGCCCGGGCAGAGCCTCATTGACATTGATCATATTGGGAGTCACATGTATTCGGTAGACGTAGTTTCTAGGTCGGCAAAATTTCTTGCCGCTTGTCCAAAGGCTGCCGACGTGGCCACGTACGCGGTTGAGCCCGATCTTGCATGGACATGATTGTCCAGGCCGAACGTTCTAGGGTCGCCATAGTTTGTGGAATTGGGGTCCGGCAGAAACCCTCCTGCCTTCCTGATCTCTTCTGGAGTTCTGCTGTCCCCACGGAACACGTAGTACTCTGGGTAATCCCCCGGATTGTGCGCCTGGCATCCGTTGAGGAGGCCGAGGAGAGCAGCAGCACATCCGAGGTGGAGTTAAACGAGCTCTAGGATGTCCTACCCGTGGCCCCATTCTCCTGCGAACTTGAGTTCCTTACAATCCAACCCTTGTGAGTTTCCATGAGTGACCTGACAAGGAGCTTTATAGGGGTTATATACAGGGGTCTTCATACTAATAGAAGCTCTCTTTATCTAAATTAATACTAATTGACTAAAGTATAAGTTTATTAGCAGGGGGTAGTGACTCTTGTAACACTAACTTGTGTTAATAAGAGATTTTTATCGGCTTATCAGGTATTGGCTCCCATATACTCTCTATAATAATTACCTCTAATTAGCTCTACCCCCCCTTATCATGTCATACCAGCCTTAACTTTCAGAGTCTGAACTGTGTGGTCATATGGGAATTCGCCAAGCTTGGGAAGCGGGCCACTGCGAATCATAGCTGACCACATGACTTACAGTGAAACCGTGGGGCGAATTTTATTACATTAACTATGGCATGACGGGGAACAGCATGTGAAGTACGGAGTATAGCTCCCTGAGTGTTTTTCTTTTTTCTTAAACCTTTTTTCTTCCCTTTTTTCTCTCTTAATATCAAAGCTAAATATCTTTCATATGGACTATAATTGGGGTTAAGACAATCATGTGTTCTGGGATATGTGTAGTTGCAGATATGAATTCCAGGGAACGGTTTTGCCATGGCAAGTTGCCACTATGTGGCTCTTTGCCTCTACCTAAAAGAGTGTAAACAGATGAGACTTCATTGCACCGAACAATCTGTCACACGGTCAAAGCTCAACAACATCGACGCCCAACAAAGGGGCATCACCGATATGGGACCTACGAGGTTATAGACCGAACACATGACCCGCTAGGAGCCTTAAGCACAGCTGTTCCTTTCATGTATATATAATGATCACTAGTCCTTACATTCCCTTGGAAATCAAGGACCTTTAACATCCTACAAGATTATTTCTAAATAGAGTTATTATGCTCCAAGCCCTTGTTATCAAGCCCTTGTCACACAATCTTAGCTCGCGCCTCTCAAAGCCGCATCCATTGACGATGACACGTTCCCGCTCGATTTCGTCTCCTTGACCTCCCTAGCTTTGAGATTCTGCAAAGGCAGCAAGTCCTAACTGCACAACACGACATTTCGGCAGAAGTCCCCCCCGGTGCGAACCTAGGTCCATCTCTTTACCCCTGACTTTTACCTCCGAGTTCCCATAACGAGAACCCGTCATGCGAGCTTCGCAATATAATAGCTCGGCTTCGGTACACTCAGGAGTGCCGACGAGTGAATCACCTAGTCGGCCCCTTATCAATACGTCAGACCTTTATCTGTCAGGACTCAGGACCAACCTAGCGTGTAAGCTTCAAAGCAGAAGCAGGCCAGCCGAGCCAAATAGGCCAATCATGACCCTTTGAAAGGTTTCATCTGCGATTCTCAATAAAACAGGTCCCAATTCTCTAGCTGGAGAGATTCAATCAAGGACGATTCCACTGTTCATTTCGATGCATAACTGCCCATCGTGACAGCTTTTTTATATAGAATGCTTTAGACCGAATCAACCAGAGAAACTCACTACTGTTGGTTGCTACAACATCTCAAACAGTCCAGTTATTTGTCCTTTAAATAATACATAATCCACTTAAAAGAGCTGTCAGACTTTGTTATGCGGCTGCATCACTGGTCCTCAAGCTCTAGTGTGGACAACACAACATGTTAGCCGCCGTTGGTTTTATAGCAGAGAGTATATAGGTTAGCCGGTCTGCTGGTCTTCTCTTCATCTCCAAGCCTCCATTCGTACGAGTCAACAATGCCAGCGTACAGCCGTTTGTGTGGATAATAGAGCTGCTCGAGCCTGGTGAGATGATCGACGGTCGTTGTAGCTCCTCATTTTTCTGAATAAAATAGCTAGGGAAGTCAGGTGAGCCTGTATGGTCATGGCGCGCTTGCTGGTCTTGGAGGTGGTGGTGTAAGATGAAAATTTGACAAACTGTGAGAAAGGGCATATTGGTCCTTATGTACCTGGGGCCTCTTGTGAATGCCTAGGTCAGCAGATCAAGCGTTTGTGAGATATAACTCTTCACGTAGATGCTCGCAATCAAGATCCTGGGGATAGCTGCGCCAACATGAATTTGGGATGAACTACTGGCACAGAGATGTGCGTTTTCTCGAGGACATATTTGATAGCAGCTTCGCTCGCTAAAAGTTGATAGGCAGTATCCACGTTACGGCGTATTTTGGTTTCGGGACCGGAAAATCTACTCAGTTTCGTCTTCGAAGCGCAACACTATGGCCCAATTGAAGGCCGTCTCTTCACAAACTCATGGCTGACATCGTATCCGCTCTGCGAATCGAAGTAGCAACTTGAAATAAAACTTAGCGGGGTAGAATATGTTGCCTTCTTTTTATTTATACGGCATTGTGTCGGTGTCCAGGCTATGGAAATGGCATATGATACACTGGAAGTTGGCACGGGGTGACGGTGGGCGGAGTGGATGGTGGTTAGGGTTAGGGTTAGTACATAGACTAGAAAACAGAGCGTATCGGTACATAAGGATCTAAAAAATATCCCATATCACTCTATAATTTGATGTTTGGCTATTATTATATCTTTAAAAATTATTGATACTAACTTTTCCTTTAATTTTAATCAAAAAGAGCAGAACACGAGCCGCTTTGTGGCCCGAGGCTTAGTTTCTTAATTTTATTGTGATACTCGATCCCCCGGACAACAAGACACCACTCAGAGACAACCATGGAAAAGAAGCACTCTTCAGATACTTAAGCTTCAACTACACTTGACGCATCGCGATGCTTCGCACTCTGCGGGTCCGGCCGCGTCTAGTTCGTGCTGTCCAAGCGCAAGCGCCACACCGCCGCTTCATGAAGGGATCTCAGTCAACTCCAGCGAGCAGCAATGTTGGCAATGCTGCGGGATACGTTTCGACTGCAATCGCGATCGCAGTGATAGGGGCATGGTGGTCGCTAGTCACGCCGGATCTTGCGCCACGTCTGGAGAGTCGACAAGACCAACGTCCCCTTGTTGAGTCTGATCCCTCGAAAGCTGAAGTCACCCGGATACTTTCGCAAGAGGCATATTCTTTCATAGTACAAAACGTGGCCGGCGTTGAGAGATATGACGGGGCTCAGCTGGCTTCCAACAGTCCATGTGAAGACCGCTTCACCCACGGCCTCGTCTCCCCATGGCACAATGGCAGTCCATGGGTTGCTTTGGCTCTTTTCGATGGCCATGCAGGCTGGCAAACAGCCGATTTCCTAGAGAAGAACCTGATACCTTCGGTACGACACAGCCTAGGTCAGATCAAGCCACCTTCAAACGGTCAAGTTACACCGGAACGAACAATCCATGGCGCCATCATGAAAGCGTTTGTTGATCTCGACAATTCCATCATGAAAACAGCTGAAGATGCCTCCGAGAGCGATCAGCCTCTGCAAGAAAAAGTGCGGGGATTTGCCCCTGCTTTTGCTGGTTCATGTGCTTTGATGTCCCTATACGATCCCACGACCAGCAGACTGCACGTGGCTTGTACGGGCGACTCAAGAGCGGTTCTTGGACAGCAGAACCTAGACGGCAAGTGGGAAGCGGTTCCATTGTCCACAGACCAGACTGGTTGGAATGAGGCAGAAGTTGCAAGGTTGAATGCAGAGCACCCGGGCGAGGAAGACCTAGCTCAAGACGGCCGTGTTCTGGGACTTGCAGTTTCACGGGCCTTTGGCGACGGGCGATGGAAGTGGTCTTCGGGAGCAATGGAGAGCTTCAGCAGGAGATTCTGCGGCCCCGGAGTCTTGCCATCAAAGTACAGCATCCAGACACCACCGTATATAACGGCCGAGCCGGTTGTCACAACAACTACGATGAAGTCGGGTAGACCATCCTTCCTGATACTGGCGACAGATGGCATGTGGAATCGCTTGTCGAATCAGCAAGCTGTTGATCTCGTGGCGGCGTGGCTCGATTCCAGATCCCCAGGGGCTGGCACGGAGGAGCCAACCGCATATCCACCGTTCGACTTTGGCGCTTTCCGGGAAGGAGTGAGTCCGGGGTTTGTGAAGGAAAGGACAGTCATCCAAGACGATAATGCTGCCGTGCATTTGATGCGGAATTCCCTTGGTGGAAACCATTCTGAGATGGTAGCGGGAAGGCTTGCTCTGACCCCCCCGTACTCCCGGAACCGGAGAGATGATATAACGATCCAGGTGGTATTCTTTAACAGTGCTACAGCTCAGGTACATAGATAGGAGGAGTCGACGATGCCTAGAGATGATTGTTCTCGCTCTGTCAACCGGCGAGTCAAAAGAGACCGAGGTTGGACAAGGCATTTAATTATTGCTCATACAACCATTCTCAAAACGGTGGAACTTTTCCGGTATTATGTTTATGCAGCGTGACATCCGTCAGTTGCAATGTTAGAGAAGACGATTCAATTCGGAGAAAAAACGCCCAACCATCAGATTGGCAGACTATAAAGTCCCCTTACACGAGGGTTAATTGATGGTCACTTAATTGGGTTGGAATTGGAACTGTAAATCACCCGCAGAGCCAACATGAAGTCAAATGCAATCAGCGTTACACCCTTGTTCAGACACAATTGGAGGTGGGAGAGTTTTAAAGACAGATTGGTGGAGTCAACACATGCAGGCAATAAGTCTGACTGCATGTTGCAGAAGGTCACGTCTCATACTCTTTGCCTCAAACAGAACTCATTACCTATAGTTCAATCTCTTTAATAAGCCTCGAGTTGGTTTAGTACAACGTTGGAGAAGCCGAATACATCCGTCGAAGCTCAAAATTGATGATCGTGCCGGAACGTTTATAAGTCGACGAGATCTATTTGTCAAGCTTGCCTTCGGTCCTCTGTCAAGTTATCCATAACTGCATAACATAGTCAAGAGTAAAATATACCTATACAGAGGCCATAGCTGTTAATTGGAATACAATGCCTCAGCGGTGACCATAAATTCGCCCACTCGGCCACCAGTGACAGTCCTTGCAGCCGAGCCAATCTGTCATAAAATCAGCAAAAGTACAGGTTTGTAGCGACTTGTCCTGTAGTTTGGCATTTGATTATGTCTACCCTCTGTTTCCACCCTTGGAATTTCACCATTCTGGGCTTTCGCTACCTGTCATCAGTTTTTCAAGGCAAGCGGACTCTGTAGGTGCCATACGACAGCATACACTTGGCCAGTACGAGGAATATGTACTGATATAAGTCCTGAATTAAGCCACAAACATAGAAGTATAAGCGCCCCTTAGAATAATGTGTGCATTATCTAACTCGGCTCGTTGTGAGGATAATACCCAACACCCAATACAGCTAGTAGGTGCGAACTGCTCCATGGAGCTCGGGTCTTGGCAGTCACGACTGCGGGGCCGCACCTGCCAAAATCTGGGGTCAAGAGCGACCGAAGACGACGGGACATGGACGCGTCAAGATGCACCGGCACCCCGAGCCTCGGCAACCCGAAGCTACCCCATCTCGAAACCGCACCCAACTTGGCTTCACGACAGGGCTGATGCTGCCGGCTTTACCGACTGGATGCCACGAGCAGCCCGTATCCAAAATCGGCTAATGGTGCTGGTTCTGTGCTCCAACTCCAACCTCATATAATCTCTGCTCCCAGCATCTTGTCTCTCCCCCGGCCTCTCATCGCCCTCGCCCAAACAAACCACATCTCCAGCATCGCCACCGCCAAAAATGCCCGTTGATCCCAAGCTTCACATTGACGAATCCATTCCCTGGAGCGAGCCGGCGTGGCTGCGCGGCGTCCACTCCCCCTACTACACATCCACACACCGCGAGTTGCAGCGCGCCGTCAGACAGTACGTCGACACGCACCTCCTCCCCTCGGCCCTCGACTGGGAAGAGAAGGGCCATGTGCCGCCGGAAGAGGCAGAGCGCTTCTGCAGGTCCGGCATCCCCTTTGCCGATATCCCGGAGCCCTACCGACCCGCAGACATCCCCGACATTGGCGGCGTTCCGCGCTCCGAGCTCGACGCGTTCCACTTTCTCATCATGAGCGACGAAATGTCCCGCGTCGAAGGGGGCGTGGGCATCGCGCTGGCCGGCGCCTCGGCCATTGGCGCGCCGCCCATCGTCAACTGCGGCACCGAGGAGCAGAAGCGGAAGTGGCTCCCCGGCCTGTTCACCCGCGAGACCAACTTCTCCCTGGGCATCACAGAGCCGTCCGGCGGCTCGGACGTGGCCCGCATCAAGACCACCGCCGACAAGACGCCAGACGGCAGCTTCTACATTGTCAACGGCGTCAAGAAGTGGATCACCGGCACGCCCTGGGCCACGCACATGACCACCGCCGTGCGGACGGGCAGGCCCGGCATGAAGGGCGTCTCCCTGCTCGTCATCCCCATGGATTCGCCGGGCATCGTGCACCAAAAGATCCAAAACTCGGGCCAGAATGCCGGCGGCGCCTCCTTTGTCTACCTGGAGAACGTCAAGGTGCCCGTCGAGAACCTCCTCGGCGGGGAAAACCAAGGGTTCATGATCATCATGAAGAACTTCAACAAGGAGCGCTTCCTGCTGACCGTGGGGTGCAACCGCAAGGCGCGCTCATGCCTGGCCATGTCCTTCCAGTACGCCATGAGGCGCGAAACATTTGGCAAGCCCCTGATCGAAAACCAGGTCATCCGCAGGAAGCTCTCCGAGATGGCGCACAGAATCGAGGCCCATTGGGCGTGGCTGGAGCAGTTGGCGTACCATATCAAGTGCTCGGATCTCGGCTGGGAGGACCCCCAGATTGCGAGCAGAGTTGCACTTTTGAAGGTGCAGGGCGGCCAGTTGATCGAGTTGGCCGCCAGGGAGGCAGCGCAGATCTTTGGTGGCGCGGGCTATATGAAGGGCGGGCCGGGCGCGACTGTCGAGCAGATTAATCGGGATTTGAGGATGTTGGTAAGTACAAGTATCACTCTGTTGGGGGGGGGGGGGGGAGGGGGGGTGGGGGGGGGGGGGGACGTG